TACATCAGGAAGGGGGGCTAGGAAGGGGTAAGTGGAAGGATGTGAGGGAGGAATGAGGCACCAAGCCCCTAGTGGGGCAGACCAGGGAGGCTCTTAGTGCTCCTCAGGGTGGAAGCTCTACCACAGGGCCTCCTGGATACTGACAGCCCCCCCGATGGACCTCCCGGATGGCAGCCTGCAGAAAGTGCAGCCAGATTCGCAGCAATGTGTCCAAGAGAAGCACTAGAGTGCCCAGAGGAAGCTCTGGCTCCATGTTGCAGATTGCTGTGGTGTTCCCAGTGAGGGCAACCAGAGCACGCAGAGACAAAATGCTTTGCTGTCCCTCAGAGGCAGGAAAGGGCAAGCAGGGAAACCTGAGAACTGGCTGTCGGGGGGGTCCCTTTAAGCACAGGCCTCAGATAGCCTCAGGCAGTGGCCACACAAAGTAACTCCTGACCTGATGCCCTGCCGGACCTGGTTCTGGCCGGCCTTAAATGCTATTCAGCGTCCACTCAGTGGACACGAAATGCTATTTCGAAATGCATTTTGTGTGTAGACGCATTATTTCAAAATAACTATTTCAAAATTAGATATTTCGAAATAACACTGTAGTGCAGACATACCCTCAGTCTGACCTGCCACCTGAAGCTTGCAGGGTCACCAGCTGCTGCAAATGTCTCAGCAAGGGAAGCAGAGTAGAGGAAACAATCTCCCCAGATATCGAACGTAACCATAGAATATAGCCAAAAAGGGATTGACACACTGAGCAGAATTGTTAATGTTTAACGAATGGAAATAAAGTTTTGAATTCTCCTCCAAAAGGGACTGGTAGAATTTGTCTGCCATTGTGGACGCAGCAGGGAAAAGAAAATAGAAGAAACTTCAAAAGGCAGAGCATCCTTCTCCTGTCTGTGACTAACAAGTGTAGCTGTGTCTCCTAGCTACAATCAAGCTGAGATACCCATCATTACACATATGTGGACCTTAGGACTAAAAATAAATGCTGAGCCCATATTCATAGAGTTCCTAGAAGACAAGGTTGGTGCTACTTAAGTGCATTTTTCTGCTCTTCTGCTGACTGCGCAGTCCCACTCTGATCTGTACTCGTGAAGGCTTCCTTCCTTCCACATGCTATGGTTCAGCCCTTTATTTGCCAGAATTTTTATATTTGAGTTTCTTTACTTAGAAACATTTTTGTAAGTCTTTTCTTATCAATTCCCAGTAGGGTGTTAATGTCCCTTTCAAATCCACAGCCTTATATTTGTATATCAATTACTTAAAACTTATCTACAAGCCTATATTGTTTTTGATTAATCCACACTAAGTTTATTCATTTAACGGTTCTGATCCCTCAGTCGTTTTGCATCTGCTAGAGGTGAGGAGGGAAGGAGTTCCACAGCAGTCAGTAAACAGAAATACAAGTGTGACAGTGTAGTGACATACCCTCCAGGGAGACAGCGAACAGACATTGTTGCTCTCTAATTCTAGTAGGATTGTTGGCAACATTACTTGAGCAAACAGCAAACTCTGCCCTTACATGCCAGAAATAGTTCTATTTCAAGAGGTGAAAAAATTAGAGCAAAAATTCAAAAATTTCCAGCTTATTTTCTGGACACTTCTCATCTACGCTCCAGGATGTCAGTAGTATCACTAAGGAGCAAATCCTAAAGCAGCATGCAAGTCCCTCACTCCAACGTAGGGAAGAGTCACATGTACATTATGCCTACTGTTCTCCCCTCTCCTCCAATTAGGCCAGTAACACATTAAAGACAGAAATTTAATTAGTTTGCCATAATTTATTCTTGATAAATCTATATTACTTATAACCCTATTAGCTTCTAGCTGCTTACAAACTGACTGTTTAATAATTTATTCTATATCTTTCCAGATATCAAAGTTAGGCTCATTGGCCTACAAGAAAAACCCCCTCAAAACTCACTGACTTGGCTCCTAACAAGCTAGAGGCTTTCCTCACACTCCAGCCTCACCCTCAGCTTACTTGGATTTAGTCCATGGGGCAAGTAGACATTCGCACTCCAGCCTTGCAAGGGGGCCCAGAGCTTCAGAACTTCCCCCGGCAGGAAGGTGAGCCAGTGCTTGCATTCCAGTCCCATGGGATGGGGGAGGGTGCACTGAAGTTTAGAGATTTGCCATGGAGCTGAAGCACAAATGCCAGCTCACCCTGCTGCGGAGGGACGCCCCTAGCCTTGCTGTGGACCAGATTCAAGTAAGTTGAAGGCTGGATCCATCCCATGGGCTGTAGGTTCCCCACTGCTGATGTATTCTGACCTCCCGCATATCACAGGCCACAGAATCTCACTCACCCATCCCTGCTTGACTCATAGCCTCTGAGAAGTCTGATGACTGATAAGACTTCAAATTACAGAGACGCCACCACTTACTCTAATCCTAAGCAGCAAGTACCTGAAGAACTTAGTGCAGAGATGAAGCAGTGGACTTTGAGTTATGACATTAAGGTTTACTTTAAACTTGTGGGTAGAGTTATTTGGAATATTAAGAAATAAACATACAACAAGGGTGATTTTATGTTAAAAAAATGCCAAAAGAATATCTGCCAAGACTCTCACGGAGAGGACATAGCTGTAGCTTGTTGGGCTGTGCTTTGAGACATAATCCTCTCTGACCATTATTTGTAAGTTCTTGTAATATATTTATATATCTTGTAAAAATATTTTTTCTGGGCTGTTGACAACATTTTCTAAAATGTCATCTTCAGATTAATCACAGGAGGTTCCAAAGAAAAATCTCATTCATATGTAAACTTAGGAATTGTGAATATTAGGCTGAGAATGGAACTCTAGAAATTGGGGTTAGTTCTGCTTTGGGCAGGGAGTTGCACTTTGTCACCTCGGCTGTGTCCAGACTCAGGGGTTTTTTCGGGAAAAGTAGCCTTTTTCCGAAAAAACTTCCCCTGCGTCCAGACTCAAGCCGCGTTCTTTCGAAATTAAATCGAAAGAACGCAGCTTTTCTTTCGATGGCGATAAACCTCATTTCACGAGGAAGAACGCCTTCTTTCGAAAGTTCCTCTTTCGAAAGAAGGCGTTCTTCAATGTAAATAGGGCTTCTTCGAAAGAGAGCATCCAGACTCACTGGATGCTTTCTTTCGAAAAAGCAAGCCGCTTTTTCGAAAGTTCAACGTGCAGTCTAGACGCTCTCTTTCGAAAGAGGCTCTTTCGAAAGTATCTTTCGAAAGAGCCTCTTTCGAAAGAAGCTTGCAGTCTAGACATAGCCCTCCTGAGGTTTCTTCCAATCCTATGATTCTATGCTTCTAAGTAGGCATAGAGTAGGGAGCCATGAGCCAGATCTTCCCTAATCCTGCCTCCTACTCCCCAGCAATGTAACCCTTTTCTGTCTGCCATGGGTCCCCAAAACATACTGCTGGAGAGGATGTATTACTGCTTTTGTTGTTTCCCTATCAAAGTAATTTTTCTGCAGGGAAGCAAAGAAATCTGCAGTGGGACATAAAATCTGCATATATACAGTAATGCAGAATTCCCCCAGCAGTAAATTATGGATGGATAACTAAGGGTATGTCTACACTAGCCCCCTAGTTCGATCTAGGGAGGCTAATGAGGGTGACTGAAATTGCAAATGAAGCGCGGGATTTAAATATCCAGCACTTCATTAGCATGTTCCCAACCAGTTGCCATTTTAAAAATTGACTAGCCCGAAGTAACTGCCCACGTCTACAAGCGGCAGTGAAACGGGATTCCGAATTAAAGCCCTAAGTCGAATTAGCTGTTATTCCTCCTGCAATGAGGTTTACCAGCTAATTCGATTTAGGGCTTTAATTCAGAATCCCGTTTCACGGCCGCGTGTAGACATGGGCAGTTACTTCAGGCTAGTCACCTTCTAAAATGGCGACCGGCCGGGAACACGCTAATGAAGCGTGGGATATTTAAATCCCAGGCTTAATTTGCAATTTCAGTCGCCCTCATTAGCCTCCCTAGATCGAACTAGGCGGCTAGTGTAGACATACCCTAAGTTTCCTCTTTCTCCCTTGTGAATACCTGGTGCTCCGTAATCCGCTACCTGGGAAGTAGCCAGCTGTAAAACAAATCTCCATAAATGGGAAGGACAACTTGAACATTAAGAAAATTGAACCAACAAAACAAAAGCTCCTATATGAAGAATTGTTTGTTTACTTGGTTGTTTTTATTTTGATTCTTTCTTCTCCCTTCATAAGAAGGGTTTTAATAAAGGAAAATCAAGAAAGGCTGCAGAATCCTTTGACCAAAAGCTTTATCAAAGACAAATACATTTTAAAGGGATACAACTACAAAATTAATGAAAACCAGATGTCAAAATAACTTGAGCAAAACACATTGCTGCTTTGCAAAGGAAATTGCAACCTGCTGGATATACTTACCGTACACACAAGAAGGCTGATCTTAAATACACAATTTGTAAGTCTGACAAATTACTGAATTTATCCCTCAGAAAATAGTGACTAATGGATTATTTGCATCTCTTGATAGGTCACCCTACTAATCCTGAAATTGCATCCAATTTTCTTCAAGGATTAGTTTTATGTAAACAGAATTTGAATGACCTTGTGACATCTAAAATGTGCAACTATTTCTCATAACTGTTGAAGGGATTGGTATGCAAAGAAGATAATCAACTGGTTCAAGTGAAACAATGGGGGGAGGGGGAAGAATTCAAGAGCAGACTTGTGAATTACTTAATCTGGGGGGGGAAACTGCATATAGAGAAAAGTCCCTGATAGTATTTATATTGACCAGGAGAGCTAATTCTAAAAAGAAAAACATTAAATAGAAAGTAAAGAAAAGATTCCTCCATTTTGATTGCAAGTGCTTTGGAAGACAGAATTAGGATTCAGAATGATCTGGACAAACTGGAGAAATGGTCTGAGGTAAATAGGATGAAATTCAATAAAGACAATTGCAAAGTACTCCACTTAGGAAAGACTAATCAATTACACACATATAAAATGTCCACAGTACTGCTCCAGGACTGGGATTGGCACAGATTCTCTGGGCGACACTTTACTTCTCAGTTAGATAAGGCCACTCCTCTACGCCTACCCGCCCACCACGCTCATTCCCAGAGTTCTGGAAAAAAATCAAACTTTAATTAGAAGCCAACAATTTCCACCTGCCAATCACAACACACACTCCATGAAGGGGAGGGGGAGGGCAAAGGGGAAGTGGAGGGGAAAAAAAAAGCCTCACTCACAAACACAGGGGGGAAAACAAACAACTACCAAAAAAATACACACCAACCCTCATTCACAAACACAAGCTCAGCATATAGCAATAAAGCCCAATCACAATACACACTTCCCTCAAGAGTCCTGTATCTGCTTCTTCTCTGCCTGGAGAACTCCCTCTCAAAAGCCTCACTCACAAACACAGAGAAAAAAACTCCCTCTGCTGATTGGCTGGGCCTTGGTAGGGGGAGGGACTTTCAGGCACTCCAGGGCTTTATAAGGCAGTGGGCAAGTGACCAAGGAGCTTGCCAACAGGTGAGTGCTGAGAGGGAGTTAGGAAGGGGAGAGGGACGGGGGCGAGGTTCTCTTGCCTTTCTTTTTAAATCCCTTCTCCAGGACAGCAGCGATGGATGGTGAAAGGTCTGCTGTTGTTACCTGCACGGAGTGTGCCATGTTTGTCCCGGAAGAAAGAACAGATTTCATCTGCACAAAGTGCAAGCTGGTCACCATTTTGGAAGAAAAAATTAGAGGACTGGAGGCCCAAATGTTGATCCTATGCTCGATCAGAGAGGATGAACACTTCCTCGATAGAAGGCAGCGTTTAATCCTTCAAGCATGGCAGGCAGAAGAAGAGCCAGAGAGGGCAGTACGGAACCAGGAAGAGAACTGGCAGCATGTAACTTCTAGAAGGGGGAAAAAGGCCACTACGGGAATCCCCCAATGCTATAGAGGTAAGTAATCGCTTTCAGGTTCTCTCCACAGGCTCTGCAGTGCTGAATGCTTTGGAAGGGACCTCACAAGGAAGAAACCACAAGGGAACACCATCTACTGGAAGGCATGGGAT